TTAAATGAATTGAACTACTAAGAAATTGAGTCCCAAAAGACCTCTCTACGAATTTGTATTTGTGGTTGTGCATTTCTGATACATTTGCTGAAACGATTGCTTACCACGAGCAACATGTTAACACCAAAAGCACAGAACCATCAATATTTATTCCACAATTCAATTTATTCACGTCAGGCAACGTATATGTAATATGGAAACCAAAGTCCGAGACAGTTTGTATCATTTTGCCTCACAAACTGTCACGTTAAAAGAGTCGATAATAATTATATTAAAATACTAAGTTAACAGAACGTGTTACAGTCACGTGTGAAGCCTGTTCTGCTGATACGTGCAAACACGATCTCAAGATGAGCCTTAACGAAATCCGTACTCATCGGACCGTCATCGAGCCTGTAGTAATAGAGAGGTCTTCCAATGATATAGGGCGGTACTATATCATTTGTTTTTGATCCGCCAAGATCCAGCATTACCATGGGAATAGAAGCAATAGATTTCCTGTCGTTAGCTATCCTAAGATGCCCCTCAGGGATATGTCATTTAGATTTATAGGTCGACTTGGACTATGTAATAGGCCTATTTCAAAACGCTTCAACTTGTTTCAAGGACGACAGATGAGCTGCATGTACATTGGATGATTATCCATTCAGCTTCAGGAATTGTAACATCACAGGCCAACACAATTATCCGCGTGAACAATTTCTAGCATGTTACTTTGTTAGTTGGTAAACGTCGCACTCAGCAATATTCCAGCTATATGGCGGCGGTCTGTAAATAATCGAGTCTGAACCAAACAATCCAGTGATCATCATCATGAGCATCGATCTTCGCAATTGGGAACCGATGACATGTGTCAACCAAGTCAGCGAGCCTGACCACCCGATCCCGTTAGTCGCCTCTTACGACAAACATGGGTTACTGAAGATCAATATTCTGACCCGGACCTTAACGGGTCGGGTATCATGTATATTAGTGCACGTTGGTGAACGTTCAGTGAATATATCAGTGAATTGTTATGTTTCGTCTCAGCGGAGCCAGATTTGTTTGCTCTTTAACCACGGTCCTACTCTCTTTAAGCGTTTGGAATTCTTCCCATTCTTCCTCAGTAGAAGTTTCCTTCGATGCGTTTGGGGATCTTGCTGATGGAAAAAAAGATCTCATATTTCCAACTTGGTCATGTCAATAATCAGGGGCACTGGCGCTGCAATTCCTTGCCTGTTTCCATTGATGGTGAAATATATATGTTATAGTGAGTGAGTGAGTGAGTGAGTTAAGATTTATCGTCACATCGGCAATATTTCAGCCATATCGTGACGAGAACAATTAATTTTATACATAGTAATTAATGGTAAATTGTAAAATCCTGTCAACGAAGGACAGTAAAATAACTAGATTATCACAGATTCGAATTTAAAACTAGTAATTAGATCTAAAACAGTTTAACTATAGATGACAATACAAGGTAAAATACAGGCTATATATTGCCAACAACTGAAGGTAGATCACCATACTAGGGACCATGGGGACTTACAGTACATTTGCTTCCTGCATGGACCCTAGCTGGATTTACACCATTCCTTCAGCCGTTAGCAATTTAGGAAATCTAGCCATGCATTAAAAATGACACGTTTTCTACGATTAAAAACGTGGAAAGTTTTAATTTACTTTGAATGTTTTGGGTCTTACTTATTATATCCTCTCGGGAGGATATATATGTTATAGTGAATCCAACACATTGACAAATACTGCATAAAGAGACATGCAGTCACTGATGCCGAAGCTGAAACTGATGCTGTTGCTATCTGGAGCCTGTACTGCCAAATCATCTATATGATTAATCAATATATCTTGTTTCAAACTTCCTATATTATGTAACATTCCACATAAAACAACGTAATTACATGCTCTTGTTGGAGTGGGTAACAATACAGTAGAGAGACAAGGAAAGGGTTTCTTTTAAATACCAAACATTTGTTCAATGTTCTGCTTGGAGAAAAATGTATCTGTCATTGTGTTGGATATCGTCTGGAGTGTGATTCGGAGTCATCGTGTATATGTAGTGTCTCCAGCAGGAAGCGACCTTGAAAAGAAACCTGAAAAATTTATTCATTTTCATTTGTCTTTATCATTTTGGATATTTTCTACTTGATTCAACACTGAATGTTGATGCTAAGATTTAGTATTTTCAAATAGCATTTCAGCCATTTCAAAGACAGTGATTTCCAATGCTGATATTCAGCTTTTACTGACTGAGATTCATGTTGGGTCAAACAATACCACAACATGTTCGATATACCCTTCATTTCTGTACACTAGTTTACCATGTGGGATGTGTAACTGTCCACATTACAGTTATAAAATGACTACGGGAAACATATTTACAGATCAATTTGCAAATCAGTTTCCATGTTCCAAGGATAAATAGGTTCTGAAGGTTAGAATATTCTTGTGAGAAACTATTCGCCTGGATCATGTCAGTGCTCCAGCCTACTAAGCCACAGCGTTCCATCAGGACTGTTGTCTGACAACTGGTAGTTTAGATCGCATACCTTGTGCACCCTTCTGAGTTTGTGCGTTGTCCATAGGTGGCTCACCCTGAGTGTGTAGGTTTCAATTCCGGATTGGATTATAAAGAGAAAGGTGCTTGAATCCGTACTTTAGCAAGAAAATGTAATCACTAGAATAAAATATGCAACTTGAGAGAAATTCTTGTAGAATCCGATGGTTTGGAGTGAAAGAGCATCACTTCCGTAGAATACGTGTGCAGTTGAATCATCAAGGTTGTGAACTCTTGAATTAAATACATAAATATATGCTTAAATTTACCTACCAACCTATATTTCTATATCCTTGACGTTAATTTGTAAATCCAAAACAGTAAAAGAAGGTTTAGTATCTTGACCACTCTACGCTGCCCAACAATCAATATAATGTCTAGTACAATCACATTTACTGGTATGTAACTTGGACAATCAATTATTCTATTTGGTCCTTGTTGAATACAGTTGTATCCTTAGAATCTGCATACAACACTGTATAGGCATCTAGATTGACACGAAATATCACATATACTCATATTCATTTGGCTTGTAATATAGCAATACGTCCATCTGACAATACCGAGATATGATACTTAAGCCTGAACACGCTGGAGTTATTACATTCAAAATGTCATGTGCCCCGGTGGTAACTACCATGACGGAATACTCGGAGGTCGTCAGTACAAATACTCGCGAAGTTGGAAAGAAACAGAATGTATATTTTTATACATTTTATTCATTGTTCACTAAAGAAGTAAATTCTGCTTTGTGTGCATTATTAAATGGAACACGCTAACGTTTAGTTGATGTTCTTGGTACTGGGTATTGCCGAAAGCATTCATCTCAGAACATATCCTTGTTTCATTCAGATGAGAACATTTAACATATTTAGATCTAAAACAGCCATCTCTCCACATTTAATCTGGTAATTTTGCCACCAATGAAAAAAAAACATGGGCACAATAAAAATGTCTCATTACTTCTCTAAAAACCACAACGGCTGCAGAAATCGCCGCAAATGAATTAAGGTTCTCGAACATCCACTCATAATGTCATATAATCGTTTACACTTGGACTTTCCCGTGTTGTTTTTATAAACCATTGTGATTGATTTTAATTTAATTAATAAACCTTAACTGCATTAGTTTCCAATACAAATTTAGAGAAGCTTTGCTCCTTGGGGAAATCAAAACACAAATACTGCAGTCCCGTCAATGGGGGTTTGAGACATTTGGTGTGAAGTGACAGGAACTAATGTAGCCCTTGATTTTAGAATTGCTCTCTGACCAAAGAAGTATCTCAAGAGCACACACGGGGTGTGAAAACTTGGATTTATTTGAGAAAATATAGTCAGATTATCATAAAACGTAATAGGAAAACATGTGTTTTTCCAATGTTTCTTTTCAACGTGCTTGTTGGTTGTCTAACGCCGCACTCAGCAATAGTTCAGCTATATGGCGAAGGTCTGTAAATAAAATTGAGTCTGGGCCAGACAATCCAGTGATCAACAGCATGAGCATCGAATTTCGCAATTGGGATACGATGACATGTGTCAACCAAGTCTACGAGCCTGACCACCAGGTCCCGTTAGTCGTCTCTTACTACAAGCATGGGTTACTGAAGATCAATCGTTACCTGGATCTTCACGGTTGGTACAAGGATGATCAAGAGTCCTTCAACATGTAAACAGTTAAAAATATATTTTGAAGTAGGCGATGTCACAATTCGATCAATTTAATTTTCCTTGACATTTGCGCTGAAGCAACCACGAATTCACGAGGTGCCCGGAAACAATGATGAAGAACCTTTTGGAACAAGGCGAGTTGACTGCGTTCATTGTTTGATGGGCATTCTAGAGGTTTCTGAGCCAATAACGATACGATACGACTATATAGATAACAACGTCTTGTTTATTGCACAGAGCGACGTTTCGGTGTAGATTCTTACGCCGTTTTATCCTTCATGTCCAGTTAATTCATTCGTGCTATTTCTTGTTCTTACTAATCAGGGGGCGGTGGGGCAGTCTAGTGGTTAAAGCGTTTGCTCGTCACGCCAAAGACCCGTGTTCGAATCCCCACATGGGTACAACGTGTGAAGCCCACTTCTGGTGTCCCCCGCCGTGATGTTGCTTGAATATTGCTAAAAGCGGCGTAAAGCCAAACTCAATCAGTCAGTCAGTCAGTCAGTCAGTCTTACTAATCAGGGGTGGTGATGAAGACCCGGATTCGATTCCGCACGTGGGTACAATGTGTGAAGCCCATTTCTTGTGTCTGTCCGCTGTGGTTGTGCTGGAATATTGCTAAAAGCGGCGTACAACTAAACTCACTCAATCACCCTTACCTGGCCTCATCCGAATATTTGCTATATAATATCGGTTACCTGTTGTTATTAATGTTAATCTGCTGTTGGCACAGCATGCTCTGTACATATACCACTCATCAGTTTTTAGCCTGTCAAGATAAGATGTTACTTGTTGGCGTCAAACCTAGTTCCCAGCATTAAGGGAATGATACTAAACTGTCAACTCGGTTATCTCCCAAGTGACAGACACCCATTTGACTGACAGTCAATTGACAGACACCTAACTATATAATGGAACAGTCCACTGTCTATTGAGTTGAGCAAGGAAACAGATTCGTTATTGAGAAGTTTGACTGTGTGTAAATAGAACTTTGGTGTGATTAAATGATAATCTGTCTTCTCTTCTCAAAATTATTTATACTATTAATAATTATTGAATATAAAAACAGGTTTGTCACAGAGAGGTTTGATTGTGCTTATTGATTGAAACGTTTTATGCATTCAAGAAAAGGATTTGGCACAACTTATCCAACTTAGAAAAGCCCTCTCCCAATAATAGGATATGTACAACTGAAGTTAACTGAGAAAACGTTTTGTTTGAGAGATATAGATAAATGGTATTGTGTAATCATAGATATAGATATGTACATATTTGAAAACCCTCTGCTTTTCAGTTAATGACAGACCTACATTGCAATGTAAGGTAATATTAATACCAGTCAATGTTCTACTTTTAACAATACTTTCTAAAGATTGTAACAGTTTACTTGATTAGTATACAATGGACATTCAAGGAAGTAATGAAAAACATTCTCATATCCATGGACACATGTACACGATGCGTCATTTTTTATATTTATTCTAAATAAATCAATATTAAGTGTACTCGTCATATATATCTTAATCTTGTGTGCAAAACATTTAACTTCCTTATTCCATATGAATACTTCTTTTAATTATAAAACTTTTCTTTCACGTGGATATAAGATTTAAATGATGCAACAGAGTCGCAATTCCTAATAGCTAAAGGAATATTATTCCATATTTGAACTGCTGATGGAACAAAAGATGATGTTGCGTCTTGTACATGGTTGGCTAAAATTATTGGAGTTTCTTAACTCATGGCTTGTCCGCTTGCCTACTACAGGTGGGAGTAAATCCTGAAGAAAAACTGGTGTTGTTCTGTTTAGTTGGAACTTTAATTTCTGAAATGTTCCAATCATTTTTAGATGTCATATTTTCAATATGATAATGCCAGCTCCCGTTAGACAAGGTTAGACCGAAATGTTTATGAAACCTTTTTTTGCAGCATTCAAAATTCAAATTAATGTCTTTTCGTCCATCTTTCAAAGTAAATAATATGTTCAGTTTTCTTCTTGAGTTTTTATTTGGACTATACCATTATAATGTGTAGGTAAGAGGTAGTAGCTAATCTGTTCGTTGAACCGTAAATGTTGTTGTTTTAAGGCGTCTGCGAACTGCCTGTCTGCGTAATGGGAGGACACCCATTGAAACGAAACGATGGTTTAATATTAATCTAGAAAACAGAACATGTACAATTTGTAAAAATAATATTATTTGTGACGAGTATCATGCTATTTTATCATGTACACAGCTTAATGTCGAACGTAAGAAGATTCTTCCCTCTTATTTCTGTAATAATCCACATATGGACAAATTTATCTCACTTATGAAATCAAACTATACCCCACTCCTATTGAAACTTTCACTTTTTGCTACAACTGTGCTTAGCCACTTCTAAATCAAAATACCTACCCATATGATATTGCATTTAAACGACTGTATGTTCTATATATCATTCTGTATGATTTTCGAGAATAAACAATTCTGTTCTGTTCTGTTCAGCTCGGAGTGAGTTTACTCAGCCACAAAATCACGCTCAGACACACCGTCACACCCAGACACGGACGCACGCACGCATAGTCAGTAACGCGTTTCTTTTTATATTTTAATTTCTAAATTCAGTGTCAGATACCTTGCGGATAATTAGGTGGCAAAATGTTTCACACTTGAATATACACTGTAGTTAGACTGTGTAAACAATCAGTTGAAATATGTGCCATGATACCTATGTATTTTCAAAATGAGGTCTGAGCAATGGCAAATTCTGTTAGCCCAGGAGTAACACCTATTTCCAATTTTCTAAACAACGCTTGACATCAGTTGAACTGTGTTCAAAAGCAATTGAAGTATATGTCTTGTTACCCTTTTAATCGCTTGTCTTGGCAAAACGAACGAATTAGTTTTTAGCAATGAAAACTTTGGTCACGATCAATGCTGCTCAGACGGGCAAAGGTTCTATCTTCTATGTGCATTTCATGTTCAGTATGAGCTCCCAAGGAAACAGGCATATCATACAGACATTTGCTTCAAAACAGATTATGCGTTCATACATTTATTATGGCATTTCAGGGTTTAGTGTTTAAATTGATGTTTGTTCTTTAAGCTCAGTCTTTCAGCCCGGCCTGGTTGAAAACTGTCATGCTATTTTCTGTATCAAAGTACATGTATATCCGGCAAGGCTGACATTTGAACCTTCTTTGAACCAGTCGATGTTTGTCATGCCTCAGAAATCGAAATATGACTGTATGCTGCACGTGACAGATGTAAACAGCAAAGGGAACTAATATACTATTCCATTTTGTGATGGACGTTATTTTATATCTGATATCCATGTGATAATGTCACAATATCAAACTTTCAGCTGAATTGCTGGATACCCTGAACAAAATATCATACAGCGTGGTTCGGCATCTCTTTGAAGAGATAAAAACAATTCTGTAAACTGGCCATAAATTCCAGAAAATACAAGTATCCTGCGACAAAGTAATTCATTGTTACCCTCTCTGAGAATGATTTGTATCTCCTGAGTGAGTGAGTGAGTTATTATTTAACGTCACATCGGCAATATTTCAGCCATATCGTGACGAGAACACTTGACATTGAAATAATTTTTTTAGAGATTATGTATCTCCTGAAGCAGTGGAAGAAGAGAATGCAGTCTCCAACAGAAAGGAACAAAACCATTCTCTCAGTTCTGTTCAGGGTTGTTGCTTCATATCTTCTACACCAAGGGTTAAGCCTAATCATTCAGGACAATGAAGGTAACAAACCATGAAACTCGCCCCTGCGAAGGAATGCTAGCTATAAGGAGTCCTGGTAAGTTACATTCTGTCAAACCTGATTATACAAAATGTAACATTTGAAATCGACCCCCGCCCACATTGCTTCCTGACTCGTAACGATAGCGGGTGCAGTGACGTGAGCATAACGCAACAACGGCGACCGTCGTGATGTGGCGAGGATTGCTCCCTCAAAATGTTAATTATTCCCCTTAACACTCACCAACACCCACTAAATGAAGCAATCATTGAATGACTCAGAGATGTTTTGGGATTTTTACAAGTGGTTTTACCATCTATGTATTTTTTGTTTTGCAAGTATCCACTTTCTAAACACATGTACCGTACATTTAATGTATTTAAAAAACTCAACGACCTCATGTAACATTCTTTAAAAACAGACGAAAATTCCCACACTTCAATATTTACGAAACCTGGTTACGTCTTGATGAAATTAATTCCAGAGTATTTAACAATCTTCGAAATCAACTTCAAGAGTGTGACTGGGTGTTTTGTCTCAGGTGAAGGAGTCAGCGCTTGGAGTCGATACACGCAAATAGGAATCCTCCAACGCTTCCAAGTTACCTTCATCTTCTGGAGTAGAAGGCATATTGTCGACGGCATGATGCACACGGGTTCTCTCATGTACATGTAAAAACAAAACGATGTTCGAACACAAAAAGAACATACCTGAATTTTGCATATGCTACATTCTTCAAATGCAGTAACCAGCCTGATAACGGTATTAGTATCTACGCCGAAACGTCGCACTTATTGCAGTAAAGAAGATGACTATCAAAGAACTTGGTTTTCCTTCAATTACTCTCTACACTAACAAACAAACAAACTGATTCAGGACTGATGATCACGTGAAGTGCTCGCCTTCTCTTCTCCCATTTTGATATCGAAACTGTTGAATACTAGGTTGTTCACGTCGCTGTTACAAAAAGATATCTCAGATGAATTGTCCGGATGTGGCGATCAACACCGGATGATGTCACACGTGGTCGACCACTGTTCTACCTGTCTGAGGCAGTGCCTGTTTGTGTTAGTCGTTGAATCTCTCTCTCTCTCTCTCTCTCTCTCTCTCTCTCTCTCTCTCTCTCTCTCTCTCTCTCTCTCTCTCTCTCTCTCTCTCTCTCTCTCTCTCTCTCTCTCTGCGGATTTGCGTGTTACAACTCGCTGGACAAGACGTTTAGGTGGTAAGAATTACAACCAATCATACAAAGTAATTATGAAATTAATATGAAACCTCCCTATCATTTCACACATGCATGTCAGGCACTGCATATTCTTCAGAAACGGACCACAATACTGGACACGGAGTTAATCAATCCTTTTTATACACAGTTACTTAACAAAAACAGCAATCATATTATTCATTAATGCTATTTGCTGCTGAGCAATGAACTATAAACCAAAATGTAATCTTCCATGCAGCGATTTCTAGTAGATGGCTTGTTGCATTATAATATCAAGCAGCAAATTTCTGGCAATGACGTCTAACGATGGCGTGTTTTCTTTTAAGAGACGCAATAACGAAATACGAAAATGGGAATGAACATTATCTGTAAATGAAAATATTAATCTTAGCTAGTATTCATGGGCTATGAGGTATGCAGTAATGTTTAACTTATGAATCAAATCAGGGAACGAAGAGTCAAATATGATTTGACAACACATTTGTAACTTTTATGTGTAGTAGTCATGTGATCAAATTAGGCGAGTGTATATGTCGGGCCACAATGGCCCGCCTTGATCCTATGCCAGTGCCATATTTAGGATTTGGTTGGTTTGGTTGTTGTTTAACGTCGCACACAGCAATATTCCAGCTATATTGCGGCAGTATGTAAATAATCGAGTCTGGACCAGACAATCCAGTGAGCAGTCATTATACGCAATTAGATACGATGACACTCATCAACCAAGTCTGCGGGCCTGACCACCCGATCCCGTTAGTCGCCTCATACGACAAGGGTGTCCTCCCATTACGCAGACAGCCAGTTCGCAGACACCTTAAAGCAACAACATTTACGGTTCAGTGAACAGATTATCTACTACCTGTTACCTACACATTATAATGGAATAGTCCAAATAAAAACACAGGAACAAACTGAAGCTATATATATTTATTTTGAAAGATGGACGAAAGACAGTAATTTGAATTTTTTTTGCTGCAATATAAAAACAGTTTATTTATTAAAAGGTTATTTATTTTCATAAACATTTCGGTTTAACCTTCTAGTCTAACGGGAGTCGGCATCATCATATTGAAAACGTTAGCTTAGCTATTAGAAATTGCGACACTGTTGTATCGTATAAATCAAATATAGATAAATGTGAACCTAAATATTATTCATTTGGAATAAAGAAGTTATATGTTTTGCACACGATATTAAGATATATGACGAATGAACTTAGTTACGATTTATTTAGAATAAATATTTAAAATATGACGCATCATGTCAATGTGGCCATGGATGTGAGAATGTTTTTCATTACCTCCTTGAATGTCAATTGTATACTACTCAAAGACATAAAGTGTTACAATCTGTAGAAAGTATTGTTGAAATTAGAACACTGATTGGTATTAATCGTATCTTACATGGCAATGCAGGTGTCTCATTTACTGCAAATAAGAATGTTTTCAAATATGTACATGTAAATGTATCTCCAACAAAACGTTTTCTCAGTTAACTTCTGTTGTACATATGCTATTATTGGGAGGTGACTTTTCTATCAATAAACACAATCAAACCTCTCAGTGACAAACCTGTTTTTATATTCGATAGTAATTGATAGTAAAATCAATTTTGAGAAGAGAAATCATTTTATCACAACAAAGTTCTATTTACCCACAATCAAACTTGTCAGTAACGAACCTGTTTCAGGCTCACCCTGCTCTACTCACTAGACAGTGGACTGTTCCATTATACCCGTAGGTGTTACCCTAATTAACCTTCTAGTTCAGTGTCTGTCAATTGGGTGTCTGTCAAATGAGTGTCTGTCAAATGAGAGATAACCACGACAAGCATGGGTTCCTGAAGACCAATTCCAACTCGGATCTTCACGGATGTCGTATTTAGGAATGTTGTGGTGTAATGTATAGAGTGTCAGCCTGTACAGAAGATGTTCGGTGATTAGGTCTCTGGCTGTACGTATATAGAACGTTACAACATAGTCCTTGTTGGCATCAGACCTAGAGATCATCATAAATGGAACAATACAAAACTGTCGGCTCTAAGTCAGTTTACACTCACAAACACAATCACGCTCAGACACACGAATGCACTAATACAATACACACGTTCATGTACATTGTTATACAAGTGGAAATACTAGGGCGACTTGAACTCATTTCATCTCAAATACCAGATATGTCAGTATCTAACTAGGACACTGCTCTATGTTTCAAGGCTATTTTAAATATTAAATTCAATAGTACTTTTGTTCGGTCGTAACGGATATACTTATACTATCGCTTTGGCGGAATGCCGTGGACATGAGGCCTTGACGCATCTGCACTCATCACACGAACATTGCATTCGCCAAACGTTTATTTACAAAGAATAGTCGATGCACTAGGATTGCTTTGTGTAACTTTTCCCTCTCACTAATGTTTCAATGGATCTGCAGTGCTCAAAGTCGATGATCGCAGTCACCAGTTCACGTTCCCCACTTGTGTCTATACACAGTGTACACCTGTGTCTTGTGGAAATGCTACAATTTCGTTAGTACCAGCAGAATGTCAGAAATACCAGCATAATGTAAACTATGGGCGTTGATTTGAAATCCAAAACATTACACTGAAAGTTATTTTTTGTTGTGACTGTCGAATTCGGACAATCACTTAATTTGTCGATATTACACACATAATAAACACCCAGGTTACTACGTTGTTTATAAAGCCAACACATCGTGTCTAACCGAATGTTTTCACAAAATAATCATACTAATACATGAACTCTTGGTAATGATGTCATGGTTCTAATTCTTTGATCGCCATTCTAGAAGTTGGTGAGTCAAAAATGAAACATACAACTTTATAGATGACAACTTCTTATTTATTGCATAGAGCGACGTGTTGGTGTATATTCTTACCGTTATCCACTTTTAGCTTGATAACGGTGTAAGAATATACACCGAAACGTCGCTCTATGCAATAAATAAGAAATTGTCATCCACAGAGTTGTTTGTTTCATTTATGTCTTGGTTCGTTGTTCCCTTGTAACTACCAAAAATACGATCTATGTCAAACACTTTTGCTAATACGTGCGTGTATCCCAGAACAACAAACATTGTGTCTTTAACGGCATCAGATGACTTTTGATATAAATTTTCACAGAAGCTACTTCGGGTTGGTAACGATATCCTATCTTTATTGTCACTGTCGTGTTCAATACAGTGATCCCTTTCTTCTGTTAGACCTATCTGATCTACACAATTCCATCTCATTGACACTCAGTCAGATGCCGGGGTATAAATGTCACGTTTTTATCCACATGATCCATATGTTAAAAAAAGCTAATGAAAGAAGAAACTGACAAAAATTGCGAACTTTTCAGTTAGGTATGTAAAAAAGATGATGTTGAAGATGACAAAGTGTACCCAAAGGCTATATCTGTGATGCGTTAGACATTGTTTCTTGATCTGTCTAACAACCCCCGCCCATAGTTGTTTCCATCTTGGGCATAAAGAACTGTTAGGAAATTCAAATATTTTTGTTAGTAATACAGATTGTTCAAATTGATGTGCCTCACCATTCCATCAATACTGCCATCATGGGGAAGGGTGATCATATGTGGGGCTAAAATCAAAATCGCTGAATTCTGGCATTCGTCAATGACATTCTGGTGATCCTGATTTTCACATCTGATCTGCAATTTCATTTCCAGAATTCACCTAAAACGACGTGTAGGAATACACTTTAAGTTCAGATATGTTTCCATCTTCAGTATTTCACGTACATTGTCATTTCTTGAGTTATTGATACCAGATTCTATTGCTTTAACAGTAGCCACGGAGTCAGTAAATATTAATAAGGTGGAAAAGACTGATATGTAGTTAATAACCCCAAACAAACTTGAGTCAGAAAAATTAGATTGCCCACCCAGTACGTATCAGTACAAGAGACTACACTAAATATATTAGTGACGTTATTCACTCAAAATGCTGCTCCATGTCATTTCAATTCGCTGAATTCCTAGGAGTACTAGGAAATCACTTCTGACTTTTACGACTGGACGTAAAACAATTCGGCTAAGTTTGTGGTCATATGCCTCCTTGACTACTACCAATTAAACATAAAAGTGCGGTTTGTCTTGATAGCTACCGTTCTGATTTGTAAATATACCCATCACAGTTCCTATCACTGTTGCAATTCATATGCTCCTATCGAGAAACAAATTCCATTGGCCATAAATAGAAATGAGTTTTGAAATTTACAGGAGTGGATTAGTCAAGGTCAGTGACGACAGCAGCTCTCACGTATATTGACAGCATGCCGCGCCCTACCGGTAGCACCCACCATCAGGTGGACAGGCTTGCTTGACTTCAGTAGCTCGTGGCCTATATATTGACGCTTTTTAGGTTTTGCTGTTTAGGGTTTGACATATATTCTTCAGTCAACCAGCTGGGTTGAAACGCTTTTTGCTATAATCTATATATTGGTATATCCGGCAAGGCTGGCATTTCCCTTCCTTGAACCATATTGTGTTAGTCATCCCTCTAAATAACGTAATACGACAGCATGTTGCACAAGGTGGAAATAAATAACACAACTAATATACTAACAAACAAAGTGATTCAGCGCTAATGTACACTTTAAATGCTGGCCCTTTTTATGATTTTACATCTCGATCCAATTTTTCAGAAACGTTCTCCTGGAGAAAATGTGCTGTAAAAAGTGACATGGTTCCTGATCCCAAGAGGCAAAAAATATATACTTTGTATCGCACAACTGGAATTTGTACTTTCATGTGATCCCTTATTTGTTTTCCTCAGTATATGTATCATAAATGTTTCCACAAAATCCATTTAAAAGAAAAAATAGTTACTGCTGCAGAGAAAGAACCAATAATATTGCGTGTTTTATCAAACAAGGCACCAAACTCATCAACTTCATATATCATTCTGGAATAGAAAGGACAAAACCACGAATACTCCCACTCTTAAATATTTACGAACCCTGGTAACATCTTGATGAAATTAATTCCAGAGTATTTAACAATCCTTGAAATCAACTCAAGAGTGTGATTGGGTGTTGGTACGATGTTTCTTCTTAAGTCAAGAAGTCAGCGATTGGAGTTGTAACACGCAAATCCGCAGAGAGAGTATTGGTAAGTTGTGTTAATCAGGTTTAGGAGTGGTTGACACCGAAACACACTTGAAGGAATCTTCCAACGCTGAACTTCCCCCATCTAAACATTTGTTTCTTTTCATAATAGAAATTATACAGTGTACGGCATTATGCCCACACCAGAACCGCAGTAGTGAATCGGGTCAGAACGGAAGCGCATAATCCCAATTATGAAAATTATTCTTGCAAAGATCTAAAAATCGAAACTGAAAAAATATAAAGGTTGTTAATGAGAAATCATTCTTCGCCAGTATTCGTCTGGTGCCAATGCATGATACATCTGTCGAGTAATCCAATACTTTAAACATTTTGAAATAGAGTCAGTGAGTTGAGATTATAAGTCACATCGGCAATAATTTAGAACTAGAACTAGAACTAAGAACTTAGTTCTTAATCCTTCCATAGACTTAGAAAATTATAAAAATATCAATAATCCAAAAGCAAGAAAGTAGTGTTAGATAATATAGAAAAGTATGATTTGACAGACATTTGGAGGGAGAGAAATTATGATATAAAGAAATACACATGGTGGAAATGAAACCCTAAACAACAGTCCAGACTTGATTTCCTTTTAGTTTGTCAAGATTTAGCGAACATGACAACTGACTGTTCAATACTTCCAGGATATAAATCTGATCATTCAGCAATTACCATGTCTTTTTCTAATGAACTTAATAAGGAACGGGGTGGTGGATACTGGAAACTAAATACATCATTACTTTATGACCAAGAATATGTAAATATAGTCAAGGATATGCTTTTTGAAACAAAATTAGAATACTGTAACTGCTCTGAGGATGAACTAGGTGATATTGAAAATTCTAAACTACAACTTAATATAAGTGACACTTTGTGTTTAGAAACATTTTTAATGAAAGTAAGGGGAGAAACAATATCATTCTCTTCCTACTTAAAAAACTCAAAACTGAAACTAGCAAAGAAAGAAATTTGGCAGTGGAAACAGAAATCAGAGAAAATTTCCAAATCATATGTGAACCTAAACTTTCTGAACTATCCAAATGTAAATTAGAATTTGAAAAATTAAAAGAATATGAAATAAGAGGTATACAGATAAGAAATAGAATTCAGTGGTATGAGGAAGGAGAAAAACCAACCAACTATTTCTGTCATCTCGAAAATAGAAAGTATACCAGTAAGCTTATGAATAGTGTCATCAATGACTATTTTAATCAAGGCTATTTTAAATGAACAAAGACAATTTTATGGAAATCTATACTCATGAGGTGGTAAAATAACAGATAATTATATTATTAAATATATTTGATGATATTTATTACACCCAAACTGAACACTGAACAGGCAGAAAATCTTGAGGGTGATATTACTTTAAATGAAATAACCCAAGCTGTTAAATCAATGAAACATAACAAAAGCCCAGGAGTAGATGGTTTCCCAATAGAATTTTTTATTTTTTTTTTCTGGAAAGATCTTCATATTTGGGTTGGTAGATATATATCAGAAACATTCAGGCAAAATATGTTAAGTCCAACAATAACAATAAACAGAGGCGTCATCACATGTATTCCAAAAGCTAACAAAATTAGACAGTTGTTAAAAAACTGGCGCCCAATTTCCCTACTGAATTCTATGTATAAAATACTCAGCACATGTACAGCCAATAGAAATTAAAAAAACATTGAATACACTTATTCATGAAACTCAGACGGGTTTTATACCTGGAAGGTGTATCAGTGAGAACATTAGATTATTATACGATATCATGTTTGAAGCAAAATTACAAGGTGAAAAGGGACTCTCGTTACTTATTGACTTTGAAAAAGCTTTTGACACTGCCTCTAAAGAATGTATAATTTTAACAATTCGAAAGTTTGGCTTTGGACCCAATATGGAAAAATGGATTAAAATATTGATCAATAATGCTACATCATGTGTTATACAGGATGGTCATTTATCACAATTATTTAACAATGAAAGGGCTGTAGACAAGGGGACCCAGTCTCTCCCTATATATTCCTCTTAGTGGCTGAAATTTTTAGGAATAATGATCCGTAACAACAGTGCAATAAAAGGAATTACATTGAATAATACTGAACATAAAATTGGACAGTATGCAGATGAAACTGAATTATTTCTTGATGGGCGTGGAGAAAGTTTAAGGGCAGCAGTTGACACTCTCAATAATTTCTACAAAATGTCTGGTTTAAGAATAAATATAGATAAAACTAAGCAGTGTGGATAGGCTCAATGGCAGGTAATAGCATGATTTTATGCCAGGGTCTTAAGCTTGATTGGCATAATGGGGATTTTGATATTCTAGGAATAAGGCTTAATCCTAATTTAAATAACCTTTGGGTAATTAATACAAGAAAAAGACTATAAATTATTAATAGAACTCTAGGGAATTGGGGGAAAAAAAGTTGACATTATTAGGGAAAAAAGCTGTTATTAAAACTCTAGCACTTTCATCATTGGTGCATATATTCATTTCACTCCCAAATCCTCCAAAGGAATTCATTGACAAATTAAACAATATATTTTATAAATTCATCTGGAATGATAAGCGGGATAAGATAAAGCGGACGACACTTATTAGAAAATATGAAGAAGGGGGACTCAGAATGGTTAATGTAGAGGTATTCATAAACTCTTGTCAGTTTTACATAAATATCTTCAAAATAAAAGCAGTACTAGCCCTAGTATCTTTCCATTCAAAGATATATTTCTGCTTGGAGCCAGTATTGAAAATTATGTCAATATTATGAGGTGAGGTGAAATTGGGTTTAACGTCGTTATATTTCGCTCATATGACGACATGCATGAGTGTGTATGTGTATGTGCGGCTGCTTGTACTAGCCCAGACTGAAACTGGATTTATAGTGCTAGCCCACTGAGATACCATGCCGCAGTGAAGCATGAATACCCCACTCAGACACTTTATACTCACTCCGAGCCGACCAGTCCTTGTTGTACCCATTAATGTCGAGCGCCAGGCAGACACCAACAAGTACCATATTTTAACGTCTTTTGGTATGACGCGGTCGGGGATCGAACCCGCGACCTTCCGCTCTCCCGGGCGGACGCTCTAACCACTACGCCACGGAGGCGGTCTCAATATTATGAATCCCTATTGGAAAGATGTAATGGCTGCATGGGGAATATTTTATAAAACACATAAAACTGATTTTACAGATATTGATCAAATCTTATCCGAACCCCTTTGGTTCAATCATCAATTCCAAAATAGACAAACAAGACATTGGCATCTCAAAGGTATTCACTCTATAAGAGACTTGTGTAATGATCAAGGTATTTTGCCTTTTAGTGAACTTAAGAAAACTTACAAAATTAATGGGACAATTCTTGACTATTATCGGGTTCTTTCAAATATACCAAAACATGGAAAGCTACTATAAGAAATAATTTATTGATTGTTCATAATCATTATCTTAACACATCACTGATAGGTTTACTTTCAGCACCAAAGAGATCTAGATATTTCTATGATTAACTTATATGTACTTAAAACCTACTTTCAACATGCGAAAAATGGCAAAATATCTTTGATATTGAAATTCCATGGCAAGATATCTTCAAAAAATATAGAAGATGTACAAAAGATACTAAATTGATTGACTTCCAGTATAAATTTATCCACAATATTGTCTACACAAAAAAGAATTATTGAAAATGAAATTAGTAGATGATGAACTTTGCTCATTTTGTAATTTAATGTCAGAAAATTTGATAGATGTTCATTGGGAATGTGAATGCGTGAAAACGTTCTGGTTGAAACTGAAAGAATGAATTGAAGATAAATCATCAGAAACTTTACAGTCTTAATTGGCGGAAATAATAACGACCTTATGAACCACCTACTTCTTGCCAGTAAACAATACACCCATGTATCAAGTATTAAAAAAAATAAGCTATCACTGGATACATTTGTAAAATTATTGAGTGATATTTTCAAGACAGAAAAGTTTATTGCCAATAAAAATCAAAACATATTACAATTCGACAGAAAATGGTCATCTCTACTGCACACATTCCCAGCTTAATAATAATGAAGATTCCAGTATGTGTAATGCCAACCCAGATGAATTTCTGCTATGTTATTTCTGTTTTCTTTGTACAAGTTCTGTTGCATCATGTACTTTGTGTATTTGTATCTACTGATTTTGAGTGAATAATAAAAAATAGAAATTAAAAAAACATAAAGAATTGTGAACGCTTAGACATTGTCTCAAGGGATTTCTTAGCTAGAATTAATATGAAAACATCCACATTGGAAGAACATGAGGCGTTCATCTCAGACACATCTCCCACATGAACGATTGGTCTAAACCTCCTTGTTATGTTATCCTAAACAATGAATTTTAGACATAAATTGAATTTTTATTCAGAAATATCTAGTACAGGGTTTGTCATATGGCAACAACACTGTAAGAGGGATGTAATGTGTAACGCTTTTTAATCAAAGATGTGTAACGCTTTTTAATCAAAGAACGGAGTAGTAAAAATGATGTGAACAATCCCAACTATGAATGACAGTCATGTAATCAAATTAAGCGTTTTATATGTCGGGCTAACGTGACCCCTCTTTATCTAGGTCACTGTCTATTTCAGGATTTTTGTCCGAGATGCACTAGCTTAGAAAATTGCGTGATAACTTTCACTGAGGCAAGTGTTCTGCCTGCCATGCCAACGCTAGACCTATTTCCTCCCGATCGGCATCGGTGATTGTCTTATGAATATGCGGAGAAACATTGTGTCTGCCAATGAGAGACAGCATTGTCGTCCAGCGTGGAAGTGCATACAAATTCCTTGTGGTATTTTAGGGACACATTTGTGGTTAATGACGCCAGGTGTGACTGTCAGATAGCACAATAAGCTGGACTTAAATGTACGTCCGTCCGTGAAAATATGTTTGCATTATCCTTGCCATCAGAATTTTTAACAGCATCAACCATTTCATGACTTGATGCAAAGCAAATAATTTAATTTATAAGGCTGTTTTTCGGCTCAACACCACTCATTGCGATAATGAGATTTTGATAGCTGACAAAATATCCCGATTTAATCTCAAGATCAACCAGCTGCCGGCATTACGAGAGAGCGCAGAACTCTTAATGCTGCAGCCTGTGAAACTGATGACAGAAATATTATTTAAGACTCTATTCTCATGCACTGGTCACGTCGACGCAGTTTTCAAGAGTTGTGCCTCTGTAATACTTAAGACCAGCTGGCCTTGGTCTTGGTTTTAGAACTTCATACTTCTACAAGGTGGTGTTTCACAATTAATAGAAGTCTAAAAATTGTGTCTGCTGAATGACTGACCGTGGCATCCTGTAGCGTGGGAGGTTAGTAGTTCGATGACCGGTTGACTAACGCTTAGCCTCTGAAAAGATTACATTCTGATGGAAAAGAATCAGTCAATTTGACGTGAAATTTAGCTCGGGAATCGTAACCTGAGGAAATGTAGACTTACTCAATATAGGACTTTTGCAGGTAGATTGAGTGGAAAAGGAAATAATGTGGCTCAGGTTCTACGAGACAGAATAGATCTCCAGCGGCGACATACAAAAGACGTAAAATAAAACTGTAGTTGTTTTTACCTTACCATTTCCGGGATGAAACAAGAATGGGCGACTCGGAGTTTACATGGAATTTCGATGGACGAGCACTTTAGAACTGGTATGACTACAATTAGTACAGGCACGTACGCGCACGCACATATACACATATGTTATACAAGGGAACATAATAGTGCCACTTGAACACTTATCACCAAATTTTATAATACGCCTGATACGACTTTATATAACTTAGCTTAAGGCGCTATTAATATTAAATCTACTTGGAAAGGCCGTAACTGTAATCTTTTGACATATACTATTGGCCGTGGGCAAAACATCTTGACAATGAAACCTTTGGTTTAATCGCATACTTTGATTGGAAGTTTATACACAGAAAACGTTTGACCAAAAAAGCAAAGCTATTATTATAATTATTATTATTGGATATTTATATACCGCACATATCCACGCACTAGTACATGCTCAAGGCGCTGGTAGTTTTTTTCCTCGATCATTAGATGTCAATCTCAACTCCCTGGGGATCCTACAACTCTTGCTGCCACAAGGCGAGCCGAGTTATTGCGGCTTTCCCATCCTTGCGAGGTACCCATTCACAGCTGGGGGGACTGGGACACATAGTCACAGTACTTTGTCCAAGTTTACTGCATGTTGCTGTACCCGCAACTAGGTGTTTGCACGTATCCATGTGGCCACCATCTGGTCATATACCAACGGTTTTGTTGGTTTTTTTAAGTGCACATGGTTGTGTACTGTACACTAGGGATTGTGACAACACTGAAAGAGTCTTCACACAATGCTGACTCCAAGTTTTTTAACACCTAGTCACAGGTGGGCTCAATCCCGGCACCTCATGCCTGCTGTATCAATAGACTGGCGCCTTAGAGCTGGCAGAACGTTTGTAGTATTTAGTGAAAGTAATCCTAGAAGCTAATCAGCTACCGTAAAGCAAGAACTGTTAGTAGTCATGCAATGCCTGCCTACATTCTTTCTTAACGTATCGGAAATGTTGCCAGCGTATTCTACAATATTTCCTTATACACTTACTGGTTCATTCATCAACATCGAATCCCCACATGGGCACAATGTGTTAAGCCCATTTCTGGTGTTCCCCCGCCGTGATGTTGCTGGAATATTGCTAAAAGCGGCGTAAAACCAAACTCAGTCAGTCAGTCATTCATCAACATCTAAAGCTAATACCAATAACCCTCTTGTCTCAGTGATATCCCCAAGACAAAACAGATAGGCGTCTCATTCTAAACAGGTGTTGATGGATTATTCTATCAACAAAACAACATTAGAGCCAAGAGGGTGATAATCAGTAGTGACACCGTTCATTCCATCAACGAAATTCCGTTTTATCATCATCATTATTGACGATGATTCGACCACAGATTTGCACTGTTTGGTCGAAGACGAAAAATGTCTGTCCACAGTAACGATTTGATTATGTAAAATATATTCAGCAGATGATGTCAACAGCACGGCAATCTTAAGCCGTTAGCGGCATCAGATGACCTTTGATGTGCACGCCTGTATCTATTTTCACAGTAGCTACTTCGGATTGGTAAAGATGAGATGTTTATCGGAACCACCGCCGCAACACTTTGGGTGGAATTAGTGTTTGTCACTGTCGTCTTTAATACAGCGATCCTTTATTCCTGCTCGACCTATCTCAACTACAGTCCATCTCGTTGACACCCAGTCAGATGCAGGGGTATAAATGTCACGTTTTTATCCAAATGATACACGCATCCATGCTACAAAGTAAAAGCTAATGGAACAGGAAGCTGATAAACTTGAGAACTTGTTTGTGAGGCATGTTAGAAAAAAGAACATTTTGAAGATGACAAAGTGAGTGTGCCCAAAGGCCTTTTCTGTGATGCTGAAGTCTTTTTTAAAGATTGTGGTGCACATGTGTTGGCCATCGAGGAAGATTAGTTGCCACTTGAGTGATGATGAGCCTCTGCTTCCGGTCGGTGCTGCTTGACTTTGTTTGCTGGTACTTGGCTCAAAATCAATTCCCCATTCACATGTCTTTTCATGTCTTCAAATATTTGGAAAAATCCCGAAATCCCATAAGTATTCACAATATATTCCCATATAACAAAAGATATTCCTATTTGAGGACCATGCTGAAACAGAAAATACTTACAAACCACCTCTGAGTTATATGCATAAAGAACAGATGACAACCCATGTTTCCATAAATTGATTTTAACTGCGTGTCGACAAATCCAACGAAATTTAGTAAGTCAATAAAACATGACAGAGCATTTGCTTACAAGAAGGCTAATGCAAGAACAGCAACTGTTTGTGTTAACTAAGTTCATTATATAAGGCACAGTTCTCGCGTCTACAGATGCTCGATGGATTCACTTTCTGAAAAGGATTTTCAGTGTTTCTTTACAAAGAAAGGGCGCCGGCGTCTTTGCTTCCCTGTTCCCTGTGTTTGGACTTCTGTAATTGCATAGTAAATAATTGATGATGTTGTATAAAGCCAGCGTTGTATTAGACAAACGATCTATAACCTAGGTTCTCTGTGGCATCCGATAGCTACACTGACTGATACAAGAAGGTCGACATCGGTTGTCCACCCACGACATGTCCATGGTTGGGAAATATTAAGACCTGCCCCTGTCATCCATCTGCGTTCAGAAGATAAGAAAACGTCTACTGAGATCCTGATTCACATGAGACATCTTCTTTGCTCTTCACTTTAAATTTAACATATCACTAAACATAAGCACATTCAACGTCTGCATTATTTTTTTAGATATTTTGTAATATAACCAATTTAATGACATATTATAGATACCAGATACTAACTGAAAAACCAGTTATAGTGAGTGAGTGAGTTTAGTTTTACGCCGCACTCAGCAATATTCCAGCTATATGGTGGCGGTCTGTAAATAATCGAGTCTGGACCAGACAATCCAGTGATCAAGAGCATGAGCATCGATCTGCGCAATTGGGAACCGATGACATGTGTCAACCAAGTCAGCGAGCCTGACCACCCGATCCCGTTAGTCGCCTCTTACGATATGCATGGGTTACTGAAGATCAATATTCTAACCCAGACCTTCACGGGTCAAAACCAGTTATGGCTTGAAGCACTCATAATGTATGTCAGTTGTTGTAGAGGAAGTAACAAGGGTAGTTGTTCTTGATACTGTGCTTGAATACAAAGTATTGTATATCATGCCGCTTTCTACCCCTTACAATCCTCACGCTTACTGATGCATAATATTCGTGTAACGGTTCACTGCAGTAACACGTGGAATGTCGATTACGTACATGCACATATATAGGTATTGTTTGACAGGATATGTGTACACATGGTTGCGAGTGTATTTCTATTTCCACCGAATCATTTCTGGGACAATAGTTCATCTTCAGA